ACGAGACCGTTATGCTTTTGCATGCTAATGCCTGGATGCATAATCCAAATACAGGACAGGAATACGTAACTCGAGATTGAGAGTAACTCTATTAAAAAGTCTCCTTTACGAGCGAACAGAAATCCCGGTGAATAATACTTTTTCATAGTTTCACCTTTGGCGAAGTTGGAAATTAAAAATCTCGTTCGTTCCTTTTTTTTTTCTTCTTCTTTATATTTATTATATAATAAATTGCGAGCGCGGCACACTTTGCAATATCTCTCTCTCTCTCTCTCTCTCTCTCTTTTTCTCTCTATCTGATAGCGTTTTTTTTTTGTCTGCATTTCCGATGCGACGCTCGTTCGAGATGCACGCCTATAAATCACGTTTGATCCTCGTATGCGCATATCTGTACGCCGTTTCAGCCGAGATCTATCGTCAAAAGAAGTCGAATGAACAAGATGGAAACCCTTGAAACGTCGGCGCCGCACGGATGTTTATCGAGTTATCGAGTTTATGCTCGGTTTCTAGTTGTCGGTTCGACACGGCAACGGCACAGCCTTGATGATGATTTTTCTTTATTTGTCGCCGCGAGATCTTCCTCACTTCCACCGTATACCGGCTAAGGTCAACTCACAGCGAGACTACAAGTCGAAATAATTTCGAAACGATTAGTTCAAATCAAAACGAAAGTTAAATGGTTTCAATTGATATAATTTTATTTGTCAACGTTGACGCGATAGAAGGCCACGTTTGTTTGTAAGTGAAATCGTCATTCTGTATAAAAAATATATTAGTAGCCATTAGGTAATATTATTATTATAAAATATATGGTATAATGTTTTATTGTAATTACAATATAATATATATTTATAATTATTCATTAACATAATATATACTTATAATTATAATATTTTATTATATAATAAATATATTATTATTATTATTATAAAATATATGATATAATATTTTATTGTAATTACAATATAATATGTATTTATAATTATTCATTAACATAATATATACTTATAATTACAATATTGTATTATATAATAAATATATTATTATTATTATAAAATATATAATATAATATTTTATTGTAATTACAATATAATATATATTTATAATTATTAATTAATATAATATATACTCATAATTACAATATTTTATCATAAAATAAATATATTATTATTATAATAAAATATGTAATATTATAACATTTTATTATTATTATAATATATTTATTATTATAATATATTGTAATAATAAATTATAACATAAGTTAATTACACTATTATATAATAGTATATCACATTATAATATAAGTTAATAATAAAATATATTATTAAATACCGAGAATACTTATACCGAGAAACCATCAATTCTGAAGACATTTTGATTCAAGTGAAAATTCGGAGCGGTGCTCGCTTTTCGTTCAACGAAAAAATTTTCTTCGTTCCTGTCGGTGCATCAGTTTGAAATATACACGAGCATTGTTGCAGAGAGCGTGCGGAATAACGTGCTATCAACGAGTCTTCTCAGGAACGGTTGGCGATGATGTTTTTCTTTCGACTATTCCGCCCACGCAGTGCAATCCGCGCGCCGACAAGAGAAAATCGATACGAGACCACGCGGTGGAAATTATTCGATGCGCTCCGGAGGCAACTCCGAATGCATTCTCCGAAAGAATTCTAAACCACTGTTTCACGTGGTTGCTTATCCTCTCATCCCGTGGGGAGCTCGAAAGTTTTGTCTACCTCTCTCGGCTCGACCAACGGACGTTTACGAAAAGAAAAGAATACGATAACGATTACGGTATAGATCTCTGTCATCTGCATCTATCTGTCTCTAGATCCATCAGGACAATTTTTTGACAAATGAGTGCAAATGTAATGCACTCCGATGTGATTTCTGTCATCTGTCCGTCGCGCATTAGTAAGAAACGCGAATTTTGTTAATTTTTATGCATCATCGCGCGGAAATATATAAGCCCCGCGTTGGGAACCACAGGTTTAATGAACGTTAATTGGAATAATCAAACGATGCTGGGCCATATCCTCCTTTGGCCCTGACTTTGAGCCCTGTGTTGTTTCCAGGTGTTTCAATCTGCATGCACGTGCACTGTTTGCGGAAGTTACGTTAGTTTACGAGGTAACAGCCACTCGCGATTACTGTTTCATTTTACAACCAGATACGGCGGAGAGCGTGCGTTACTCGCGTTCGCATGACCACGACGGCCAACGTGTTACGTGATTGCTTATAACTTTCTCTAATCGTGCAACACGTATTCATTATAGGAAACAGTAGACGCTAAGAAGTGAATTACAACGACTTTTATTAACATTCGGATAACAGTTTCGAAGAGTTTAATGATCGTTCGAATGTTAATAACAGTTTCTATGTATTCCAAAAGAGAGAGAAAAAAAAAATAAAACTAAGCGCGCCTCGAGGCGAGTCTTAATTGGCGACGTTTCCCAGGGAAGAAGGAACTTCTCGAGCTGTACGTATCACGAAACCGAAAATAAGAAATAAAAAGTCGAAACCGGATCTACGTAGAGCTTGCAATGATTTTCATCTTACGTCGCGATTTGATCGTCTTCGAATCATCGATTTTTCATATCGATTCATCGAGACATTGAATACGTGATGATTTTCTGAATTTAACCACTTGCGCTGGCAAGTGATTTTGCGGACCATAACGAGCGACCGAACCGTATACGATAATTAGTCACTTTCTTCTTGAACTCCTCGATATCGTGTGATATCACTAGACAGAAATTATTGAGAAGTAATAAATTTATTATTCGTTTCGCCCATGTATTCGGTTATACTTAAATATACTTAAGACCGAGAAAATATTGCAATTTTGGGACAAAAAGTTCTCGACNGTGCGTGGCACTTGCGCTGGCAACTGATTGCGGACCATAACGAGCGACCAAACCGTATACGATAATTCGTCGCTTTCTTCTTGAACTCGTTAATATATCACTGGACAGAAATTATTGAAAAGTAACAAATTTATTATTCATTTTGTTCATGTATTCGGTTATACTTAAATATACTTAAGACCGAGAGAATATTGCAATTTTGGAACAAAAAATTCTCGACGTGCGTGGCACTTGCGCTGGCAACTGATTGCGGACCATAACGAGCGACCAAACCGTACACATTCGTTGCTTTCTTTCTGAACTCGTCGGTACGATGTTACTATAGATGGATGGAAATTATTGAGAAGTAATAAATTTATTATTTGTTTTACCTATTTTGTTTTACTTAAATATATAATTAATTGCTTAAAATCGAGAAAGTATTACAATTTTGGAACAAAAGATTCTCGACGCGCGTGGCACGTCATTTCAGCGCAAAAGGTTAAAAAAAGAAGTACACGATTGTCGGAGCTCGTGATGATTTTCGGAAGCAGTTCTTTTCCTTTTTTTTCGACGAAACAACGGTTCCTGGACTTCGAAACACCGGACGAGCTATCTAATCTCCATGCCGAACATTTATTATTACGTGGATGCGTGCTTCGTATCTTCTAACTTCCCCACCACGTTTCCTTTCGAGCTCAGATTTACAGTTTCCTTTCTCTCTTTCTCTCTCTCTCTCTCTCTTTCTAGCAGAACGTGGGTACAAATTAAACAATGCCTCGCATTACCTCTTTCCCCCTTTCGCGGAGATCCGTTTGAACGCTAATGCTACTTCGTTGATTAACATCTTCTCAAAGAGGATACTTACCGTTTCCCATCCACTTTGCACCTGGACTCGAGCAGAACGTCCACCAAAGATCCATATTTTTCTGCTCTTTTGCACGTGTTTGAAAACCGCAGAGAAGGAACAACGTGTTTCACGTTGTAATACCAAACTCGTTCTTTCGAATTGATTGTAGAATTAAAGGTACATCTTCCATACATCCACCGGATGTTCGTGCATTTCTGGAAAATTTAATATTACAGATACTCACGTGATACGGGAAAAAGTATGTACACTCTCGCTCAGAAACTTTAGGACAAGCGCTATGTTTGCGTAATAAAAATAATGTAACAAATGTGAATTATAAATTATATACAATGAATACAATATATAATATAAATGCAATAAGTACAGGTGCACGCGGTGTAATTAAATAGAATAAATATCAGACGTACTTTGCATATAGTAAAGACTTCGTTTGCACTATATTTGTATAGTAAAAGTAGCACAATAAATATAAATTATAAATTACAACAAATACAATAAATACAGTAAATATAATAAAACGTATTTTATATAATAAAGACTCCGTTTGCACCATATTTGTACAATCAAAATATAAATTATAAATTAAATTAATATAAATATAATATAATATAATTAAAAAATAATAATATATAATATAATTAAAAATATACTTTATATAATAAAGACTCTGTTTTGTTGTGTTATTATATTACAATACACGCGTACAACAAAATCAAATTAAATACAATCCACGTAATTTGATTGAATACAATAAATGCAAAATATACTATATGCAATAAAGATTCTGTCACTATCAATATATTATCGTACTATTATATAGTGTATTATATCGTATTATTATATATTGCATTATAAAATATACACGACAATCTATCACATAATGGGACAAATATTAAAAATAAATATAACTAAACTAAATATTAAAAATATTAAAAATACATATAAATATATTAAAAGTGTCTCTTTTATATAAATATAAATATATCAAAAGTGAGCAAATATTAAAAATAAATATAAATATATTAAAAGCGTCGCTAAGACACTTTCCAGCGGGAGTGTACTGGTTAAGTTCTTCAATTCGTGTCAATGTCGAATAGCTAGAAATTAGAGCCTCCGAGGCGTGCTCTCCGAGGCGAGATCCTATTGGCAGTGGATCGCCATAATTGCGGTTTTCGCGGTTCGCTCGGCCGGGTGACAAATCTCGCAAGCGTGAGAGCGTGAGAGACACGAACCGTGAACGCAAGGTGAACTGGTTTTTTTTTTTTCCTTTTTCTCTTTGCCAGGATAGCGAAGGTGTCGTTACGTCGAGAGCACCGCTGCCGGGAGGGTAATGCGCTTGGCGAGCGGAAGTGAGAAGCTCCGGGCGGCCTTTTCTTCCCTCGGCCCTTGGTCTTGCTCCGCCGGCTGTTTCCGCTCGTTCTCCAGCAAGCCGATCGCCGCTGCCCCGGAGGAAGAGGAGGAGGACGAGGAGGAGGAGGAGGAGGAAGGTGAACGCGGACTCGCGTCCTTCTGGATCTCGTGGGCGAACAAAGGGCGAACAGCAACAACAGCAGCAGCAACAGCAGCCAGAAGGGAGCGCCTCGTCCAGCACGGCGCTCTTCTAACGGCGACAAGAGGGAGTTATGGTGTCTCGTGCATGCGATGACTGTGGCTGCAGCCGTGGCACTGTGGCATCGTGCCCACCTTTACAAGGCGATCGCCTGCGTCGTCCTCGCGCTCATTGCCATTCAGTATTTACTCAGTGGCGTGATCGATCGCCGCTCTATAGAGACGATCTTCACCATTAACGCAACCAGGTACGTACGCATTATGTTGCACGTGTAGTAATTAGACTGCGAGAGAATTGGTGAAAAACGACGCAGACTCTTTGCCAGGAAGTAGATGGAAACGAACGACTGAAAAAAATAATGTTCCAGCTGGCAACTGATTCGCGGACCTTAACGAGTGACCGAATCAATACCGTATACAATAATCGGTTGTTGATGTATTTTCTTTTCCGCACAACTGTGTAGTTTTTTTTTTTTTTTTTTATTGCATCGCGTACGGGACACCGTGTATATAATCATTTACTCAAGGAAATTATTATTTCTTTTGAAATCTCTTAACATCGCCCGATCTTTTGAGCGTAGGTACATGCAGGGTGAGTCAAAAATCACTTCTTACTAAAAGAAACATCTAAATTTTAAAGCATAACGAGAAAATCATCACTTCATTGAACTTGAATTTAATTTGAAATTAATAAAATTAGTTTTCCCTTATATTTTGATTTTTTTTTTAAATAGACGAGAAGAAGTGGTCCACTCTGTATTATGTAACGTGTCACACGGAACGTTTAAAAATTGAAAATCAGCACCGTTACAAAACAGATTCAGCAATTATATATAAAATTCCTGAATCTGTTGTAACGGTGCTGATTTTTAATTTCTAAACGTTCCGTGTGACACGTTACATTATATATATATATATATATATATATATATATATATATATATAATATGTATTACATATATATTATTATATATTTACGTATTTTAAAAACAAAATGTTTAACTTCCTCCGGCCGAAAATTGCCTACCTTGTACATAGAAAGCAGCAGCGAAATTACGAACGGGAATCTCGAACGTTTTACTTTCGGTGGAGGATCAACTCGCTTCGAAATTACTACTACGATCCCGTAATGGGAGACCGACAACTTCCGGTTTGTCCAAGAGTAAATTCCCCGGGGAAAATTCGTCGAGTTTCGTCGAATCCGGGCGTGCGCGCGCGCATCCCCGAAGCGCACGTGTTATCTCGTTAGTTCGTTAGCGGTCATTTGGCCAGTCCGTTTGCGGAGGTGACTGATTAACGATCCTTTAACCTTTGTACTCCACGGAGTTGACCTGTCCTGCTCGCGAAATTCCAGGCGAATGAAACGAACACGGTGTGACGAGGAAGAAAGAGAAAAGGGAAGAGAAATGTTCTCGCTGCGAACGAGGTCAAAAGGGAATTCCCGGTGAACGATGCACCTCTCTCTCTCTCTCTCTCTCTCTCTCTCTTCTTTTTTTTTTTTGTTATAAAATATGGGATATCCTTCGGGAAAGTAGCGACACGTTTTTCGCTTTGAACTTTACCGCGTAAAATAGTTGGTCGTTCGCTGGAAACGCGCACCCACGGCAGTATGCAGATATCTGCGGAGAAAAATGAGAATGAAATGAAAAAAAAAAAAAAAAGAAAGAGAGGGTAGAAGCAGCGGTTCGGTTCGCGTACGCGCGTTTCTTTTGCATGTGTGTCGGTTAGAGACTGAAGTAAAAACGGGGCGAGCGATTACGTAAAATCCGCTTTGAAGTTGCAGTCGCTTTCAAACTCGAACGTCTTGTCGTTAAAGTGAAATGATACGTAATAAATGTAACAAGGTGTTAACCCCTTGACACACATGCGTTTAGAATTCAATCGTTCATTTTTTTTTTTATTAATTTTGTTTGCAAGTATCGCAGTCATGCACTTTGTGCGAATACAACAGTACGAAAATGATGAAAAAATTTAACATTCGCAAATTTCTGTCAGAAAACGTCAAAATGAAAAATAAATATCAATTTCCGGTCACGTCGAATTTCATTTAATTCGTATCGCCAATCAAAACAGATTTTTCCAAAGCACACATTCGACCACGAATGAATTGAAAAGAATGTACCGAAATTAGAGCTCTGGGAAAGTGTATAAATTTAAATGTGCTCCAGTGTGTCCAGAATGTCTCAATCAGGTATTCGGTATGTGTCACTCCTCCGTCAATGAGCTTTTAAACGTTGAATTACACGCGCAGTTTAATGACGATGAATTCAATTCAACGCGATTCAGATCACGCGCGAAGTCGAAACAATTATCTCGCGACCCGGTAACGAAGGGTCGTATGAAGAATGACACACTCGATGGGGCATTAACGATTTGTTGCGATAACCGACCGGTTCTATTTCACGTCCAAGAAACGTGTATGTATGTACGATTTTCCCGGGATTAAGGAAGTATTCTAACGTGAAGTGTTTTCTTAACTTTGTTAGGGAATTTTTTTGCAAAGGAACTATTATACCTTTTGCAGTCAAATTGACGAGGTTTATCTGTACGTATTTCAACGACGTTTGAAAATTTTTTGGGACAAAAAAAAGTTAAAATTAGTGGCACTGCATACTCTCAAACATAGTCACTTTTAAAATAGATCGTCTCACGGCAGAGTTGGCCATTATTCGAATAAAATTTCGAGTAAATTATTCGACTAAAATTTTATTATAAAAATTTAATATGCCCAACTCTGTCTCCGTGATTCCGGCCATTCTGCTTGTCGAAAATAAAAGAACATGAATGTTCCGTAATTAGCATGAGTTTCGCTATAGCAGGTACCAAACCAAAAGCAAACAGTCGGTAATTAAAAAAGTGGCGATACTTTGAAGTTCGTTTATCGATTTTTGTATGTTTTTGTTAAACTTTGGAAGCCTAAAAAAATATAAAAAATAAAACTTTTTGATTGATTCTGGTAGGGATTATCGGTCACATACGTACTAAATGCGTACTTAAAATTTTGAGTCAATTGGCCAAGTAGATTTTGAGATATCATGGACACCGTTCTGAAAAACATAGTTTCCAGAAAAATGCCTTTGAAGTTTAGTATTGCGGTAACAATTGACGCTGGTCAAACAACCATAACTCCGTTAATTTTAGGAGTTCGCATGTAAGGTTACCGAGATTTATTTTTGACGCTGTGTCCTTTAAGAGTATGCAGGAAAAGAAAATCGATTTTTTTCAAAAGTTCACACTAGGATACCTCCTTATCGCGCGTCACAGTACCATTCCCTTGTATATCGCGTCGCGCCTCGTACATGCAAACAAGCAATCATTTGAATGGCTGGCTAGCTAGCTGGCCATTCCACGGACGCGTCTACATCTAATCGCGCCGACACTCGCTATTACTGTTATTTGCGATCAAGCTCTAGTTCCCAAGTCGCTCTCCATCTCGCAGATTATTCCCATATTTCTCCCTGTTGCAGCGTACAGTTAATTTGACGTTTGCTCTGTCGGCAAGACGTGTCATCGTGATTGCACTATTGCACATGCTTGTTTCGCTCTCTGTCTATCGATATTGCGTCAACGCATTCCATCAACTGTCCCTTAAGTCTTCTTTCACCTCGGAAGGAAGAGTCGTTTTTCAGATTCGTTATTGAGAATTGGCCAAAAAGTATTTTTACATTTTTTTTTTTTTTTTTTTTTTCGCTAGTAGATGGATATATTGATTATATTAAAATGTAACTGAAAGCCACAAAATTTATTTCTGTAATCTGCTCGAGCTTGTTTTGGAAAAGGAACATGCACGATCTCGTCAATCAAATTTTGTTGAATCTTTGCCATATTTTGCTGTATTTTTATTTCCAACAATATGCAAGATCAACGAAATATTATCTAACGAAGATGAACGAAGGTTTCCGAAAGAAACTGATCGAATAAAACGGCCAATACATTGTCCAATAAAATTCTGGTCTCCCGTGAAAAATTTCGCTTATTTCTTCTTAATAAATGGACATACGTTTGTGTCTTAAAACGTAACTTTACTGTAAGTCTCAAAATATATTTTGTAATCTGATTGTCCAAGTTCACTTTGGAAAAAGAAAATGCACAATTTCGTGAATAATTATTTATTTGCCAAAGTGACAAATCAAGGAACATTTTTGCCATATTTTGTTGTATTTCAGTTCAAAAGGGAAGAAACACTGTGCAAGCTCGTAAAAAGTTATCTAACGTGCATGGTGAAGAAGTCAATATTTATATTGTCTAATAAAGTTCTTGTCTATCATAAAAAATTCTTACCCCCCCCCCTCCCCCCAAAAAAAACGCAGTTACTTTTTGGTCAGACTAACAATTTTTTCATGTTTCATTATCATAACGACAAACTTTTGGAATTACATTAATAACGTTATAAATACTTATCGATTTTATTACGTACAAATTATTAGGTTGTTCCAAAAGATTCCTTTATTCATGAATAATACATGCATAGTTTTCTATGCTGTTGAATTATGATCCATTCTGATCTCTCTGGATACGTAACAGACATGATAAACATAATTCCATTTCCAAAATTTCACGGCTTTTGCTACGGAGACATTTTTACATCATTTACTGAGCCAATCTTTGAGAGAATCTTGATGAATGTAATCAGATAACAATCAGACGAGAATGTTCTCTCTCGTCCCACACTGATTATTCCTATTCTTTTCATTAAAAAAAAAAAAAAATGAAACACTTCCACACAATATTTCGCTAGGGAGTCCCCAGAGATTTCAGAAAAACGACATTATAAAATCAGAGTTTACACAATTCGATAACACGCGAATAAAGCGTTAAAACTGTCGTAGATACATACATTTTAAATCGCTAATAAAACGAAGGAAACTTTATGAGAGGATCAAACACAATCAAGTGCTTGCCTGCTCGTTGCTTTCAACAAGTCGTTTGTCATTTCGAAACGACTCGAAATCGTGAAATAGTCGCGAAATATTGTGCAGCGTCGTTCAAGGAATACTCGCGGAGCAATCGCGGAGATTAGCCCCGAGGAGTGCGATTAAATTTCAGCGAGTCAGCTTCCGAGCAACGCGGGACGGGCAACCGCGGGCAAGATTAACCGGAGGATGAACGGCGGTCGAATTCCGTTAATTTCGAGTCGGGATGCCTCGTTTGCGTCTTGTCGAGTTCGCTGGATGGATCG